AAATTGAATTTTGTTGAAATTTTGAGAAATATTGGTTGAAGAAGCATGGAAATGGTTTTAAATTGAATTGTCATCAGGTTCTGAGCTATCTTGAAAGTTTCAGAGCTCTAGCTGTTCAGGAAGTCGGTTAAATATCGCTTCAAAGATTCGAACCGGACAAACAGACATACAAGAAAGCAACCTTATAAAAACGTTGTAAAACGCGTAAAATTAATTAGTAATTAGTTATTTAATATTTTTTAAAGTGTAAAGTGCATTGTGCAAGTTTTTTTAAAAGAAAGTGAAAAAGTTATTTTTGACAAATTATCAAAGGTAAATAAAAAACATATTATGTTGTTTCTTTTTCTAAATTTTTTTTCTTTTTTTGTTTCTTTTCTTTTATCATCATATCTTATCATTTAATTTTAAATAGCATGTCCTTTGCGAGGAAGCACTTAAAAAGGGAAACGGGCAACAAAGATAAAGCACACAGTGATGTAGACTTGGGCAATCGAAAGTGGAGTGCTGTTCTCAATTGCGCTGGAGGTTCAACGAAGAGTTTGATAGAACATCTAAAGCGTGTTCATCAGATACTTGATCCATTGAAATCTGGACCAAAACCTAGCAACCAAGCTCAACCAAGCTCAAGCTGTCAATCCTCCAGTAAAGAGGAAAAAGCTGATGATTTTACTAGAGCATCGTTTGAGGAAACCATTTCGAAAGAAGTTTCTTTAAATGAATTCAACTTCGAACAGATCGTCAACCAATTCAGATATAATAGCAGAGCATGTGAAAGAGAAGTTTCCAACAAAAAACTTCCCAAAGAATGGATCTGGTGTTGCAAAGATTGTTCGAGGTTTTCATGAAAACATCAAGGCTAAAATAAAATCGTGGATTCAAACTCATCTAGCTGAAAGAAATTTCTTTTCAACAACCCTTAATGAATGGACTTCTACTGCAGGGTGACGTTTCTTGAACATTATTCTTTATTATTTTGAAAATGGTGTTGATAAAGAAATCAATTTGGGCATGGTTCCAATTTATGTAAGTGCAACTGCTCTTAACATCAAAAAACTAGTAAGTTGATATTATAATCTCTATTTTCTAATCATTTTATTTTTTATTTTTTTATTAACAGTTCGAAGCAAGATTGATGGAGTTTGGCTTGGATCCAGAGAAACACATTAATGGTACTTCTGGTGATGGAACGAGCACTAAGATATTATTTAGTTTCATGATCGCATCAGAAAACGTCCAGTACAGCGATCATAGAATTCATCTGGGTGTTACTAAAGTTCTTTATCTAAACAAAGTCAGCAGATGCTCCAGTGGATGATGACGACGATAATGTCTTTTTCGTTGAGTGTGGAAATGAAGATGAACCTGATAAAAATATACCTGATGCCGGCAAGAATACAGAATCAGACGATGAAGAGAAGGCCGATTCACTTCAAATGGCTTTCGCTTATCAATCAACGATCACCGAATTGAGAAAAATTGTGAGCCTCTTCCATCGATCATCGGTAAAAAATGAAGTTCTTCAAAAATTTGTTAAGAGGATGAACAACGAAAAAAAACTTAAGCTGAAGTTAGATTCAAAGAATCGTTAGGGCAGCCTTCATGATCCTTGCGAAAGGTTCTTGAAGGTACTTGGTCCTGTAAAAGCTCTGAATCACAGGGAGATTGACAAAACCTACTTATGGGCAGATAATGACTCAAAAAGATTAGAGGAGTTAGTAGAAGTTTTGAGTCTAGCGAAGTTGGCAATTCAATTCTTGTCAAAGAAATCTCATTGATTGCAACACAACTATCAAGTTTCTCTTGGACAATTCAGAAATGCGAGATCATCAGCTCTCGCAGCACATTTTCTTGGCTATCAAAAAGAAAATCAACAAACGCAGACATTGCGTTCTTCAATTATTCATCCTTTACGACATCAACAGCATCAATAGGCCGAATCACTTTGCTACATCAACTGTTGCTGCTTTGATCAATCTTGCAGTGAAACTGATGAAAAGGCTCTTCAGTACTGAAAATGGTGATTGTGTAGAACAACCTAAACAGCAAGGAACCATCAGCATCAACATCACAGCAGGTTCAAAAAAATTTAGCTGAGTAACTGATACTTGCCTTGAAAGCTTTAAGAGAGGTCACTAAAAAGCAGGCGGGCTAAAATATTGATTACAAAAAGGAGATGCAGATGTATGTGAATACAAAAGTACGCTCACCTACTCTAGATTTTTCGAGGGACTGAATACAATACAAGCAACATCAGTAGCTGCAGATCGTCGTTTTTCGGAAGCAAATATTCTTGTGAGCAAAGTTTGCAGCCGTCTTTGTGATGAGAACATCGATGCTATTTCTTTTCTTAAATTTTATTTCCGAAGTAAATTAATAAAGTAGATTCAGACATAAATTTTGAGTTCTTTGTATTGTTTTTGTATTTTTTGATTAAAAATTTTCAGGTTTTAGAAAGAAAAAAAATATTGAAAAGCTCATTCCTGGTAACTGTAATTCCTGGGAATGAGCTTTTTCATTCCTGATATTCCCGAAATTAAAATTCCCGGGAATTTGAGGATCACTATTGAAAATACTAAATTGGCAAGCGCATTTTTGCAATAATTGAACAGTTTTTTTGATATGTTTTTCTTTAACTGCAGCTTTGTCAAACTTTTTCAACTTTGATTTATCATAATATCCTTTGTTGCGTTCCAATTAGCTTGGAAAATTTTAAACATCAGATTTTCAGGAGCATTAGTTTTATGTGAACTTTTTCCCAAAAATGTTTACACTGAAGTTCTTAAACATGTCTTTGACAAAACCTAATGCTTGTGCCGGAATATTTTCCTGTATTAGTTGCAGTTGTGTCAAAGTACAGACTCTTTATATAAGTTCTCAGCTTATATTCATCTAAAATGTTTATTAAAGTATCATGATGAGATTTTCCAGTACTGTTTTCCATTGGCGGAAAGCCAAGAAGTTTTAAATCATCATCAATATTTACAAAAACAGCAAAATGATCTTTTTTTGTTTTGTACCGTTAGTAATATCCTGCAAGATTTTTCCATCAAAGTGTGCGATTTTTGTAAATTTACTTTGGCTTGCAGTTTTTATTATATCTTCTCAATATTTAGCTGCACTTGCACTTATTATTTTCTTTTTTGCACTTCTGATGGTAGATTTAGAAAGCAAGAAATCTGTCAAATTGCCCCCAGAAGAGACTACTATGTCCGAGAGCAAGTGCATCATACTTCTAGAAGAAATATTTTTAAAAACACCTGTATTTGCAGCTTTTTTTTGCAACTTTTTTAGGTAATACTATTGAAGTATTAGTACCTTATTTAATTCCGTTTGCTGAATAGTCGGAATCCTGACACAATTAGACCTCGCTTTGTTGCTCAATAAATGTTAAATATCGCAATCTTCTTTTGTTTCTATCTTTTTTAGCTTTTGGCAATATGCTAAATTCTTTGAACAAAGTGTCATTTTAAATTTCGTCATTTGACCATTTAAAAATTGCTTATCTGAATTGCATGAATCTAGGTTGTTTCCATGTTTCTTATTCAAAATGGAGCAAATATCAGGTTTTCTATTCCAAAAGACTTTCTCAGAATTTTTTTAAATGTTTCTAGCTAATTCTGCTTCATTGCATTTTTAATTTTTTTCAACGTTGCCTATTTTTCAACTAGATTATTTACTAGTTTCCTAGAACATATAATTTTTATTTAACTTTTTTCTAACTGCTTTAGTAATTTTTAATGAGGCAAATGTAGATCAGAGTGAAAAGAGTCATGTTAACAAATTAAGCAAAAGCAAAAGCAAAATTCGGTAAAAATAAAAAACTCTAACTATAGATTATTTAGTAAATCTGATGTGTTTGTCATGAAATATGCCGCCATTATATTGCTATTATGTGCTTGTAATGAAATATGCCGCCAATGATCCACGGTTTCTTTAAAGCATAAAGGATGCAGTTTTGAGGACATATTGCTTGTTCAGAGCATGCTGACATCATTTTATCTTGGAAAGCACAATCAATCAACGTTTTGGTGGGAGTATTTTTGTCTAACAGACGCCTGAGTTATTAAGAATAAATTTAGATTATATATATTTTGTTTTTTAAACTGAAATTTAATGACTTAGTTAATATATTGAATGATAATTTTTAATCATACCTGTAATGATTAAAAATTATCATTCAATGTAATTTGTCAAAATGAAGAATAATTTCCTTATTTGTGACAACCTGTGTTTCAGAAAGTTTTTCTAACACTTTTTTTCTTCAAATAAAAATGTCTTTGAAAGCGATCTCGTAATTTTTGGTTGCGTCTTTACTTTTCTTTATTTCTTCGTTTTATTTTAGATTTTTAAAGTAAAAATTATAAATTGCAGTTTATACTAAAAATATAATAATCTTAGCTTAATATATATATATATATATATATATATATATTATATATATATATATATATATATATATATATATATATATATATATATATATATATATATATATATATATATATATATATATACAAATGGGGAAAAACTGCTTGCATATAGAATTTTTTTTATAAATGTAAATTTTGGACACCCTAGTATGCATGTACCCAGTGAGCACGGTCCTAAGATAGATGTCTTTTGAATAATCAAAAGGCGTTCAAAATGTACAAAAGACGTCTTTTCAAGTCCATGCACACAGTGTATGTATATGTAAATTTTTTTATGTTGGATTGTTAATTAAGTAATTTAAAGTCAAAGTTTTTGATAATCTTTCAGATATTTCCTAGTAACTCCTTAACTTCCTGAACCTAGTAACTCCCAATTACCTGCTTGCAACTTTGTTGCTCACTTAATAGAGGTTGCTTGCAAACTGGTTAGGAGTGAAGCTGAATAAAAAAAATTGTGCAATTATTTATGCTAATAACTTATTTTAAATAATTGGAAAAAGTTAAAAGCATTGTGAGTTTTTAACTTATTTGCTTTTTTGAAATTTTTTAAAATATTATTATTACACTCACTATGTTAACAACCATCAAAATTGCAGATGGAGAACGCATAAATTCAAAGTTTGGTTTCATATCTATCACCAACACCGTGCTTTGGGCTGTACCATCAGAACTCGACATCCTAAA